TATATATATATATATATATGTACACATACACATCTGTACATCCTTTTACCAATCTAATTACCATTTACATCCTTTTAACAAAACTAGCGTGCATTAGGCTAGTGCAGAAGTATATGTGAGGCGTGCTGACAAAATGAGTTACTTCTCGCAATCCACAAAATGGAGATATTGGCTAAAAATCGACACAGGGGTCAAATTTGTAGAACTTTTACTAATGCAATATTCTAGAACTATAACATGCCTTTTTTTTATTCCATACTAATATATTATAAAAACTTCACGTAGAAGCGTGATAGGTCTATATCTTTTTTTAAAAGTCTTGAATCCGAGAAGCAACTCCTTTTGTCAGCACGCTTCACATATTCAATAACCAACCAGTACCACGTACCATACTAGAGCCTCGGCCATCATGTCTGAATTATATTATTATCATGATGTAAAAGGGGAAAGTTCGACTGGGAGATGGGCTAGATGTTTGCCCACCACTTGACGCTCGAGAACAGAGGAAGACATGGACACACACACACACACACACACATGCACGTACGCACACCAACGCACACACCCAACACACCCCTTTCCTGTTAAGTCTGTGTGTTTTTCACCTCTACCGCCAGTTGTTCTGCCCGCCACCAACATCAACTCTATTTGTGTACATACATACACACACACACACACACACACACACACACACACACACACACACACACACATACACACACACACATACATACAAACACATATACATACATACATACGCGCACGTACGCACACCAACGCACACACCCAACACACCCCTTTCCTGTTAAGTCTGTGTGTTTATCACCTCTACCGCCAGTTGTTCTGGCCACCACCAACATCAACTCTATTTGTGTGCATACACACACAAACACACACACACACGCACACACACACACACACACACACACACACACACAAACACACATGCACACATACACGCACGCACACCAACGCACTCACACCTTTGATGTTAAGTCTGTGTGTTTCTAACTAACTGACTTCAGGATACATGTGATATTGTTTTTCTCTGTGCTGTAACTGGATCGATAACAACAACAACAACTGGATCGATAACAACAACAACAACTGGATCGATAACAACAACAACAACAACTGGATCGATAACAACAACAACAACAACTGGATCGATAACAACAACAATAACAACTGGATCGATAACAACAACAATAACAACTGGATCGATAACAACTCTGTGCTGTAACTAAACTTTAATTCTTAACGAAGTAAGGTGTAAATAGTAAAACAGAATTGTCAATGAATAGAAGCGGGTTTCAAGTCAAAGGCTCTTCATTTTACTTTCCTGACAGCAACATTCTATAGGTTTCAGCTCTGGAGAGAGAAAACTTCAGTTTTATCAAATTCTACTTGAGTTACTTTAGCACAAGAAAAGACGTGATCCAGGATCTTCCTCATGTAGGAAAATGGGTTATATTCTGTTAGGCCTCTGTGCTGTGCTTTCCTTAATTTTCTGAATGAAACACTTAACACATACATTCTGATTCATTTCTATTTCTTTTTTCAGGGGAGCCGAGGTTTGATGTCAATGTTTCTGTCCCAGCTTATATGATGAACTCTCCTAATGCAGTCATTAAGGGATCTGTTACTTCAAAGTAAGTGAGCTGCAAACTTCTAATCCACAGAAAATGAAAACGTCCATTGTGATATGATACCATGATACTTGAATGGGATGGACATGCTCCAAATATAGCACACTCGTGGCTGTTAAGTCCTTGTTTTATGGGTAAATGCTGAGTCCCAAGGTTATTTCTGTTGAATTGGAAAGACTATAACGTACCATGGGTACTGTGACATATTTTGCTAGATTGAAGTGAGCTCCATATGTCAAGATTTTACTGTTCTTCAAAGATTTCTTTTTGACAGTGAAAATACTTTCTTTCAGAATGTTATTTCAATGATTAGCCATAAGCGAAAAGTAACTATATGTATGTATTGACTGTTGTCGCTTACTTTTGAATGTATGCTTTGAGATGATTTTGATTTTTTTTTTTTATTCTTTGTTTAGCATCTGTACTTAAAATATTACTAGGGTATTCACAAGCTGTGCTGAAGATGAATGTGTGATGTTGACTTTTTTCAAATTTGTCTGCAAAGTTCTGCTTTATGTTTGACGTCATTATTTTACTTTAGGCATTGTGCTATGGAGAACATAGTGGTACAATTTTGTACCTAGACAAGTGTTTGATTTATTATGTTTCTATTTTTTCTTTTTTTAAATAAGTTTTTTTTTGTGCGCATGCTTTCTGTTTCGTAAGCTGTTAAATCGTGGACGTTCCATAATTTCATTATGGCCTGTTTGGGTTGTAAAATTGAGTTATCTGTTCAAGCTCTTTTGAAATATGTGAGGCAGCGTGGTGGAATCAGGCTCTCCTCAAAATAATCAAAGTGAAGAAACCTGCATTTTTCCGCAGGTTTGTGAATTTTTATTTAAAAAGTTATTTTTTTGCTCCTCACCTTTCATGCCCATTAAAGAACTCATTTCTGTGTGGATTTTTCTGAAAAACGTTGATTAAAGGCACAAATAATTTTTAAAAATTTAGTTACCACGGACTTTTAAGCTAAGGAAATAACTAATCTTTGGAGGCCATTTTCTCATTTATTTTACCTCTGAAAACAGGTGACCCCCACCTCCTTCATTCGCATATATCTCGACTTGTATTCAAGATAAATGGATATTTTTTTCATTAAAATAAAGACAAGTGAACAAGTTTTAAGATGATACCAATAACTCTCCACGCCCAAAAATTGACGAGAGCCTGATTCCACCACGCTGCCTCACATATAGTCTAATAAAATTTATAAAATGTATAGATTTATTAAGATATAAAGTTAATTGGTCTGGGTCATCCTGATTTAGCAGTGAAGAGGGTTTTTTTTGGTGATTTTTGCTGTTGGATGGATCTCAAAATGGGTGGGTAAGTTATCTTCCATTGCTAAAGGTATGCTATTTTATTTTCAAAATTGGTTCACTTTTAAAAGTGAACTTTGGAATTGAAATCGATGAAATAGGAGTGCATAAGTTGTTAGTACTAAATAGATGCAATAGTGTAAGAGATTGAAATAAATGAAGGGAGTCAGAAAAGTTAAATCGATTCATTTGCATGTGCTTGTATTGATGACATGCGAGCTTCAAATGAAGATGTTACCAGATCACACAATGCTCCTTTTACAAAATTCCTGTGTTTGTTTAATTTCTTTCTAGTCACACAAGTGGTCGCCCGTGCATGGGAAATGCGACTCTCACTGTGTTTTTCCGCCCTCGTGAGGAAATCTGGAATGCCACCAGGGGATGGGAAAAGCCGTACCGTGATCGGCTGGGCAGCAACGACAGTCCTGGCTTCCTGCCTGTGAAACCTGACTACATTCCAGTCACAGAAGTACCAGTGAAAGACTACTACATGTATTTTGCCTATGAGTACAAATTTATTGACTTTGTAAGTCCCTGATTAATTATTCTTTATTGTTTCTCCCTCCCCTCCCCCCCCCCCCCCCCCCCAGATCATTCCGACCGAGAAACAGAGAAAAATTGTATGACTGTAACGGTCAATGGGCGCACTTGACATGTTCCTTATTACAAGATTTATGTCAGTCTCGTTATTGTTGAGGAAGTTCAATGCTTTATTTCAAAGTGGCCTTTTGGGGGGGGGGGGGGGGGGGTTCTTATTTTGTATCAGGTTGAGACTTAAAATGTAAAGCAAATGAAATGAAAATCATTGTACATCCTGAAAGATGGATAGATGATCTGGATAGACAGGTACATAGAACTGCTTGATATACTATATTTGTCATTGACATAATGACACTTTTATGTATATCTCCTTTTGCATAAGGGAATTATAAAACTTATGGGAATGAACTAATGGGTCTTTAAGAAATCGATGCTTTGAAGAGATTTGTTTTTGTTCTCATGAACATGTTACGACAATGTTACTGCCAGAGTAAATTAGCCTTCAGTCTCTTCATCTCAAGTATGTTGTTGTCATATCAAGTATAAGACAGGGGGCTCTCGTGGCCTGGAGGTTAAGGTGTTGGCCTCTCATTCAAAGGTCCCGGGTTCGAATCCGGGTAGCGACCGAACAATTTTCTTCTCTAAAATTGTCTCCTTTCACCTCCTGTCCTGCTCTCTAGCAATGTTCTGTTGTCTGCTTTTATTTCCACTTTCTGCCCCCACCCCCTCACCTCCTTTGCCCCCTCCTCTGGGCTCCTAGCTGACTCTTTCTGCAGCCTTTCTACTGCTACTCCTTGGCTCCTCCTTACTGCTGTCTTTCTGCCACACCCCTGATCTTCTGGTAGGAAAGATCGACACCTAGCCTTCTCGGACAAGGGCAAAAAATCTCGGAGGGCCCGTGTGCAAGTTGCGCACATTAAAGATCCCTTGGTGGTCTAAAATCGATAAGAATAGGCTTCGGCCACCACCCGGGCAAAATTCAAAAGTTCCTACCAACTGAAAATATTAGGTGTGTCCCGCACGCTCATATGACCTTATGCAGTTGCGAGCGCCGTAAAACACTTAACAAAAACCCCCCAAAAAAGTATAAGACATGTATTTCATCACAGTAACATCTAGGAAAAGATTGTCCCGGGTTTTAGTAATTATTTTGCTCTTTCATCTTTCTTCTGTTTGCTGTGCCCTTTTATATTTTGGCGCTCTCTTGTAAGGTTCCCACCAGTTGCGTAGTTAGCTAGCTTAGATTCATGGACAAAGTCAAGCAGTGTCTGTAAGATGAGATTTAATTTAAATAATGGTCAGTTGGGTTTGTCATTGAGTAACACTTTTTAGTCTTTGTAAAAAAAAAAAAGCTTCTTTGTATCGATCTGCCTATATGGTATTTGTGTTTTTGAATTGAATGTAGTTTGTAATGTGTCATGTTGTGTGCTTTAAATCTATATGTATTCATCCTGGTTTCCATACAAACAAGTAAAATGGTCTTTTCTTTCTCTCCCCCCCCCCCCCCCCTCCAATTTTTTCCCTCCTCATTTCTTTAACCATTTCCAGTTGTGTTTTTTTTTAATAGAATTTTTGGGCAAAACTAAGAGCCAAAGCTGTCGTCACTGATTTTTAAAAATCTTTCTTCTTTCCTGTCAGTATCAAGGGAGAATAGATTTTGAAGTAACGAAAGCAGAACTTGAGGATCTGGCTGGCCGAGGGGGTGAGACCACCAGCCTTGTGGACAGTGAGTTCATGTTCTTTGCCAATGTTACGGACTGGTACTCCGATCTGAACCGCACAGGCTGGGCAGGGACCATCATGTACGAGAACGACGTCAAGATGAGATGGGTCGGAGGAAGTGTGAAAACGTTTAAGCCGGGGTCCATCTTGAAAGTTCAGGTTCGCTTTTGTGTCCCTTGTGGGTTGAAGACTGTGTGTGTGTGTGTGTGTGTGTGTGTGTGTGTGTGTAGATGTGTGTGTGTGTGTAGATGTGTTTGTGTGTGTGTGTGTGTGTGTAGATGTGTGTGTGTGTGAGTGTGTGTGTTTGTTTGTAGCGTGTATGTCTGCATGTGAGTCTGTGAGTGTGCACTAATATATTATGTGACTTAAGTGAAAATGTCCATCCCCCCTCCAACCTTTCCCCACCAACTGTAACCATTCCCTGTTTGATGTAAGTTATTTTATCTTGGGGGAGGGGGGGGGTCTTAATGTAAGACAACTCCCATAATAATTATTTATCTTGAATCAAAACTTTAGCTCAAAATGTTTTTCTTCATATTGAGCTTAAAAATTTCAAGTGTTTAAAATTATTTCGTCGATTGCCTCAAATTCAAACCCAACTCCCCCAAGGGGCGGTGCCACTAACTGAAGGGTCTTTAGGCCATTCCCAAAGGGGGAACATTAATATGTTCTTATGCACAGTAGAATTATAAATTGTAAATGGGCTGATTCATCAATGTCATGCTCATAACTGTACCTGAACTGCAACTGGGATCTGCTCCTTTTTCTCTCCTAATCCTTACTATCATCATTTTTCCTTTACTTCTTTTGTATGTTTGTTACACTTGTGTGACCCGCTATTTCCGGGGTGCCTTGATAGTCGAAGCAGACTTTGTGCTGTTGAAGCTAGAGAGGTGAGCAAAGTAAGCCCGATTCCCTGTAAGGACTTCTCGGTTGACATCTACCCTTTGACTCTCACAATATGACATCTACCCTTTGACTCTCACAATATGACATCTACCCTTTGACTCTCACAATATGACATCTACCCTTTGACTCTCACAATATGACATCCACCCTTTGACTCTCACAATATGACATCTACCCTTTGACTCTCACAATATGACCTAATGCAGTTGTGAGCGGCGTAAAACCTCTACTTAAAAAAACAACAACCCGAAAACCCAACTCCTTTTAACTTCCCAGGTGGCCGTTTCACGCTATGACGGCACACCTGTGACAGACGGAGGGGCTGTGACCATCGTACAGACTGTCATGACTTCTGCTGGCAATAGTGATGCAAGTGCTTCTGGCCCTCAGACTCACCCAGTCTTGCATGGCATCGCAGAGTTTGAACTCTTCCTGGGCGTCCACGCCCACAGTTTTACCTTGACGGTAGGATTCGCTCGCACCTCCCAACTGTCGTTGATGTAACTGTGATATTTTTTCCCGATAGTTGAATGCCCTACTAGGCTGGTCTTTTCAAAGATAGACCATTTGGTCTTGTGGTTATAGCTTGGAAGAAATGTGTGTAAGTACTTGGCTGCAGATTTAACCTTGATTTCTTAGTTTTTTCTTAAAAGTTAGTGCACTTCTCATCAGTCTGAAAATGTCAATGTCTTGAAAAAGTCATCAGCAATACGTCTACTAAGGTGTAATATCAATTTTTAAAGTAAAATTATAATGAGAGCTATTTTTCTTCTTTTTTAAAGTTTAACTTTTAAAAAAATGTAATTTATCCTCAGGCATCTTTCCAAGACCCGAGCGAACTACTTGAGACGAACACATACATTAACCCAGGGTTTGTGACAGGCCGGTCCAAGAACATTGAGATGCGGGGAACTCGTTACTACTCCCCGTCCAACTCGTACATCTCCGTGACAACCTCCACCGCTCACCCTCAGGTGTGGCTTTGTGGTCCTTTGTGTCACACTATGTTGTTTCTGCCGTCCCTGCTGCTGTAGTTGTTGTTGCTGTTGTTGTTGTTGTTGACAATGGTGGTATTTTTGCTGTTATTGTTTTTGCTATTGGTTCCCCAGGCTGGTGAGTTGTTTATTTGTTTCAGAAACGGAAGTCTTATGAAGGATCCTTTCTTCTGTCAATCTTTTGTTGTTGTCACTTTTAGTGTTGTTGTTGATGGTGTAATTGCTATTTTCCTTGGCTGCTAAGTTTTGCTCTGTTTTCAGTAACGGCACCCATCGTCGAGGAGATAGGTGGTTGTCTTTGACTAGTTGACGTCTTGGTGAATGTCATTATAATGTTAAAAAAGAAACAAACCCAAAAGGGAAGTGGGAAGCAGTCATTTGTACAGGAGATTATTTTAGACAGGTGGTTTTGTGAGCAGATTCATCTGTATTCATATCTTTCAATACCCCCTCCCCGCTTTTCCTTTTTCCACCTTTGCTATTCCTCAAAAAGTGCTTTTCTTTTTCTTTTTTTTTTCCAGGTTGACGAATACATAATATTCCATGTGAAAGTGAGCCATTACGTCTCTGCAATCTTTTACCAGGTAAACAGCGTTTTGTTGTAAGCACTTTTCTATCTCTTATTTTCATTTTTTTTACCTGTCTAGGGAGTAAAGAGGAAACGTTAACATTTGTGTTATCTTCATTACCAGTTTTGTATTGGTCTATGGGGGAGATACATTGGTGCTTTATGAATTCCCGCTTTAGACATCTTTTTCTTTCTAATTTATTCAATATTTTTTGTTTCCTCATTAACTTGCATATTCATCTTCCTGAGATGTTTAGGCTTAGTCTTTTCTTTTCTAATTTAATTGCAGATAATGGCACAAGGCAACATTATTATTGGTGATGAGCTTGAGATGACCTCTCGTCAGAAGACTTTCTCCATTGGTCTTTCTCGGGAAATGGTTCCTGTAGCTCGCATTGTGGTTTACTACATCAGAGAGCCTGAGGAAATAGTTACTGATGTCCTGAACTTCTTTGTGAATGGAACCAGACACAATATGGTAAGTATGCACACATGCCTTTTCATTGACGCTTTTCTACACGTATTCAGTGGCGGTGGGTAGTGAAGGGCTTACGGGCTTGAGCCCCTCACCCCCACCCCGTCCCCACCCCAACTCTATCCCTTAGTTAATGAAAGTTTCTTAAATAACGAAATAAGCAGCTGAAACCGTCATGATCGCACACAATGAATACACAGTTATCAGCTTGGCAGCTTGCCCGTTTATCCAATCATTGTTGTCACCGCTTACAACTATAGTAACCTAACAGCCAATCAAATGTCGTTAGGGCTCGGAAAGAATAAGCCGGTTCCCACGCCCGTCTTTAATGAAACTCTTCTTGTAAAAAAGTAGAAGACTTTAAAAAAATTACACTGCACAGAGGGCTCACGCTCTCCCAGCCCTGACAATGGGGTGAAAGTTTACGACACACTTTCCCCCAGTGACACAGATACCTATGCGCCCATTGGGCCTTTGTTAGGCGCGTTCTATTTTCAGCAACAACACGACCCAATCCACCTCATAGACAGTATGTGTTTGGAGTGCTGTGTGTTTGTGCCACTGAGATTTAACAGTTATTAATTACATCAAACCACCTTTGAGGCAACTTTTTCTTCAGATAAAAACTAATTAGAGAAATTTGGAGGTGAAACGGCTTCATCCCCACCATCCAGAAGCTTAAATTTAACTAAGAACAAAGAGATGGAAGACAAAGGTGACTCTTCTCGTTTGAATGGTTCTCAAAATGCCGTGGCTCGCCGTGAGTATAGAAAAATCATCACTATTTTGTTCTAATTGCTTGCTTTTTGGTGGTAAAGAAGTGGAAGAAACCTAAGCCCCACCCAAATCTTGGTCCACCCACCGCCACTGCACGTATTGTATCTGTGTGTCATATCTGTTCTTGAGAATTTCGGGTTGAGGTAGTTTTGCAGCAGGTGAGCATGCACACTACCTGCCTACTTGTGAATCTGTGGCCTTATATAAATTTTCTACAATCATAAAAGTATATTCACAGGCAAAGGCGAAGCTTGCTGGCAACTGAGTGATTATCGAAACGTAACCCCCTGAGTTGTATTATTTGAAATGATACAGGACTCCATTGCTACATATAGGAAAAACGACTCTCTACCCTGGTGACTTGTCTTTAATAGGAGGGCGGATGTTTCAGTTGGAGAAAGCGGTCTCTGAAATGACTTAACTGTGTTGAAACGAGGCGTAGATTAATCATTAAAAATCATGTGAATAGAGTATTGAATTTTACGTCATTTTGATAGATACAAACTTGCTTTCTTTAAGCAAATTTTTTGAATTTAAAGAACAAAGTCAATGCTAGTTATGAATGCATAGAAGTGAAGTTTTTTTTCTCCCGTTAGTCTCTGGGGGCTAGATTTTCCATAAACACAGGTCAGATGTACACATACTTTTTCTGAAGAAATCTCACCTCATAGAATTCTCGGAAATTAAATTCTGGTAAAAGATGCCATATTTTACAGTTTTTTTAACTTCCATAACTTCACACACCCCTCTTTTTTCCCTCCAGGTGAAGTTGGGTATCAACCGTGGCAAAGATTTCACCCGTGACACAATTGAGTTCAATGCGGAGGCTGACCCAGGCTCCTACGTGGCTTTCAGTGGAATGTTACTTGATCTCTACAGTCGTGGCCTTAGTGATGGTATCACAGAAAACAAGGTGGGCAACATGATCAGTTACTTTTGGATACAAAGTGTGTTTGCTTGCTTGTGTGTGTGTGTGTGTGTGTGTGTGTGTGTGTGTGTGTGTGTGTGTGTGTATGTGTGCATGTGTGTGTGTGTTTGCTTGTGTGTGTGTGTTTGTGTGTGTGTGTGTTTGTGTGTGTGTGTGTGTGTGTGTGTGCATGTGTGTGTGTGTGTGTGTGCATGTGTGTGTGTGTGTGTGTGCATGTGTGTGTGCATGTGTGTGTGCGTGCACGTGTGTGCTTTAGTTTTCACATTGTATATTGCGAAAACTGTTGAAAGTGTGTTGTTTTTTTTCTCATGAATGATCAAAAGTAAAGTGTATCTTTTTATTCCAATTGTATCTAACCTTCTAACATTAAGCAAGCCTATCAACTTTTCATGATAGATTCATACTATGTCCATGCTGTGCCATCTGCAACGGCTCTAAAACAAATCTTCCTATAAGAGCCAGTTCCACGTATCAAGATTTTAGCAAATTTTTCAGAAGGAACAAAAAACCTATTAATGTAGGTATGTATGAATGATCAGCACACCGGAAACCATCAAGCCCTAAAAGCGTATCACATGATACGTGATTTAGGAATTCTTGGCTTTACTCTCGGGTCCGTAGTAATTCTTGTTGCGTCATCCAAGTTGTAACAATATTGAAATCCATTCCGCACATCTCAAGATGAGCTCATTTGGAAGCAAAGCGAAGCAGTTATTTGCTTTTTATAGCGATTTTAAGTCAGGGAACTCAGTGTATCTTGTACAGAAATGAAGCCAATGATACGCGCTTTCGATTGGTGAAAAATAAATTTTAGCGCCAAAGTCATGATACACGGATCCAGCTCTTATAGGAGAAAATAGCACCCACACCAACACATAAGCTTTGTTTTGTTGAGGACAGCCGAATGGTGACACCTTTGGACATAATTTGTTTCCTGAAACAGCTGATAGAATTAATTCTAATTGAACTGTCTTGGGTTCAAACCTCGATCTTCGGGCAAGAAATGGTACACTGTTCTTCAAAAGCTTCTTCAAAAGCCATATATCTTTACATAATTTGGATGGTTGGCGGGTGCTCTGATGTGGTTTGCTCCTTCTTTCTTATCAAACATCTTTTACCCTTATCTTTCCTCCTTTTTTTTGTTTGTTACTCTCTTGTAATACCTCTATTCTTCAGAACTTGTTACTCTCTTGTAATACCTCTATTCTTCAGGATTTGTAAGACTTTATGAAAACTATACTAAATTTTACAGAATGGCAACTCCCTCAGCACGGCTGCAACACATCCCAGTGCCTTATATCTGCCTCCCGAGAGGGCTTCATACCTCTAAAATTACTGCCCTGCATTTAATATGACTTAATTGTGTGTATTCATGGATCTCAATATTCTGCTATTTAGCGGACTTCTGCTACCGCCATTTCCTCAGCTAAACTTCTCTATTGCTACCCTTTTATTTGAAATTATCTTCCAAACCCTTGAAGTGGTATGAAATAACCTTGCTTTGGAAAATTGAAGGTTTTTATTTCTGCTTTCTAGGGTTTAACAGTATAATGATAATGGGTGTCTCGCGAAAATGGTTTTCTGTCGCGATCACCCGGAAAGTTTCTCCTTTTTTAAAATTCTGATTTGAGACCCATGGTATTACGGCAGTATGCTCGGCAAAGAAGCGCCCAAAAATTGGTCGAAAAGTTGCAGGTTTCTCCATAGTTGTAAGATGGCCCCTCAAAAGTCTGGTGAGGAGGAAATCACAAGTGGCCTTTGGCCTGAAAAGGCTGTGAATGCCAGATTCTAGACATTCTGGGGGATTTACATCTTTTTTGTGTAAGCCTGTCTCTCCATGTGTGCTTTTGTCTTGGTGTATTCTTGCTGTTGGGGAATGCATTCATTTCTCATTCGCTTGTGAAATCTCAAACAATGATCTCTGCCAACCTCTTATGATTTAACTTTGAAGCATGAGGCAGTCAAGTGAAGGCATCAATATTCTTTTACAGTGTGTTTATTGAAAGAGAAAAATGTGCTGATATATTTACAGAAGGAAATTGTTTATTATAGTTGACTTATTTGGTCTAGATTGTTTATAATAGTTGACTTATTTGGTCTAGATTGTTTATTATAGTTGACTTATTTGGTCTAGATTGTTTATAATAGTTGACTTATTTGGATTGTTTATAATAGTTGACTTATTTGGATTGTTTATAATAGTTGACTTATTTGGTCTAGATTTTTTTAAAATAGTTGACTTATTTGGTCTTAATCTTTCAGCTGATAGATGAGTTGATGACGTATGATGAGCCTGCCAATGCCAGTTATCGACAACTGTGGAGGGTCAGTGACACGGAGTACGAGTACAAATTCTTCCATGGTTATGATTATGGCATTGATGGGACCACCTCGTTCAGTGTGAGTAGGAAGAAATTTATGTGTCTTTGTCTGTTGTAATTTTCAGCTTCTGGAGTTTGGAAATAAAAATGTTTATATATACACATGTATATATTGAACTGTATGAAGCAGAGAAAAAAATTCTTCCATAGTTTTGATAATTATGGCATTGATTGCTGAGTGAGAAGATAGTAATTTAATGTATATCTTTGCCTTTTGTGCCTAAGGGAATGGTTTACAAATAGATCTTATGTGAGATTCATTTGTGTTGGAGTGTAAAAATATAGCAAAAAGTTCATCTATCGTTGTGATTATGCCAGCAAACCCTACTCTTCATTCATTGGAAGTGAAGAAATTGACATGCCTCTGTTCTTACAGGTGATAATTCTTTATGGTTGAAGTAAGTATTTTTCTTTTTTAAATTTCAACTGAATTGACATTTTAAGAGCAGGAGAATTATTTAATTCCCAATCAGGATCTTAATTTTGAAAACAGTACTTCTTTCAAAGTTGGAAGAATAATTATGTGTTTCATAGACCTTTGTGTATGGGCGTTTGTACATTCAAGAGGCTTGTAGAAAATACAGAAGTCTCAAAGAAGTTCTCTTTATTTAAAAATGATAGATTTATAGATTTGTTTCCCTATTGATTGAAAACTCCCACAAATCAGCATTACTGTCATGACTACCTCGTTTCATCCAGTGTACAGTGTCAGTCCAGTGAGAGACATACTGCATTGCGGCTAATTTGTGGTTGCATGTATCATACGCAAATTTTCCATCCCTACCTGCTGTCAAGTGCTCATATTCTTCTGGATGAAGAAATAAAAACTAGAATAAAGTATCTCTTTAATACTACTTCCTTACTGTCACAGCCAGGAACTGAACCGGATGTGAACAGTTCGAAGTCAAAACATTGTCATTTATAGTTAAACATGTAAACGTACCTTGCAATATTGTTCAAGATTCCGTGCGGTTGCCCCGAGGTTTGAACATTTGACAAAGATGTTTTTTATAAAGACAAATTTTTATTTTATCAATAGGCCTATCACTCAAGTGGTATTTAAGATATGTTTCCTGTGAATTATATTCTGTTTTCAATTGAAATTTGTTCCTCTTGATAACACATTCTCATTCTGCTGAACAGTTCTAGATATGATTTCAGAAGGTATGAGCCTATTGATTAAAAACAATTTTTTAAAGCTAGTAAGTGATTTTTTTTACACAGACATAAAATACACTGCTTGGACATTCAGAAGCTCAATTTTTCTTCCCCAGAGTGCAGGAATGTTGATTCTCACAGATGCAGATGTCACACGCTTGCCTAGTAAGTTATTGAAAAGATGATTTATGTGTCTTTTGTTTTTTTCTTTATGGAAAGTAGAAGACACTTAAAAGATTTTCTTCGGGGATTCAGATAGTGGAAGAAGATGGCTGTAGAGAAATGGAGGGGATGTGGGGGCGGGGTATATTGTACTAATACAATTGTGCAATTTCTCTCCATTACCTCTTTTAGAGCATAGAGAAATGGAAATGAACCAATTGTTTTCAGCTTTTCTCTGCCAGTGTATCTCTTAGTTTAGTTTAGTACTGGGTTTTACGGCGCTCGCAACTGCATAAGGTCATATGAGCACCATGTATCTCTGCATAATTTTAGTGTCTATGTTCTGACTGAGAAAAAAGAAAGAAAAAATTTTTTAAATGTTTTTTTTAAACTTCAAGTTTCCTAGTACACTCCTATCCTCAACATGAATGGCCTCTTCTCAGGGTGGGCAGACAGTCCACAGACACCCCAGTCCACTACAACAAACTTCAAGTTTCTAGCCTTGCAGCAAAGTACTGCTTCACTTTAAAGTGTCACGCTATTCAGTCATGTTTATTTAGAAAGTAAGATGGAAAAAATCACCCCAACTGTTTCCTTCTACCTTTGTTTGAAGCTTCTATAGACTGAAAAAACAACACACACACACACACACACACACACACACACACACACACACACACACACATACACATGCACACACACACACACACACACACACATGCACACACACACACACACGCACACACATGCACACACACACACACACACACACGCACGCACACCAAAATGTTCTGTCCCCGGTCACAAATCCCCCAGTCTCAATGAGGTAAGATATATCTCAGCTCCTGTATAGGGACACATTCTTTAATGTGGATGCTCCTATGTGGTAGAGCTGGATCCTGCTCGCCAAATTTGAGAGTGGCGATTCACGATTCAGTCGGCTTCAATGAATCGCGAGTACGCGAGCACTCGTGGAACTGCAGCGGAACACTGACTGAAACGGAACAGTGTCATATCAACACCACTTGGCGAGCGCGAGTACCACTCTTGTTGTTCCGCCATCCTCTCCACCCTACACCCTTTGTTACGCTGCTCTATCAACTGACCTCAATTAGTGACCCCCATAAATTCACCCCCCCCCCCAACCCCATGATTTGCTGAAACAATGGCTCAATAAAATTCCTTCTGTCTATTGGTTGGACCCCGTTCATTTTGTTTTAATAGGGGGGTTGGACTATGCCATCTTTTGTAAAATAAGGGGAGCCATACTAAGTGTTCCGTTCCGTTCTTGCGCTCGTGACGCGACTCAGCAGTAGGTTAAACAAGCCACAAAGTGATGACAGCGACAGGGGAGTGAATCGGGAATCGTTTGGCAATACTGTTCCGCGTTCCGCTGAAGTGAATCCTGAATCGCGTTCCGCAGGCAAGAGTGGCGATTCAGTTCCGTTCTCGCGCTCGCAACCCAGCAGTACTATGTGGTCCTCTTCTCCTCTAACTTTATGTGTCACCGTTGTCCTTGTCTCCTTTTGCCGAAATCTTCTGCTGTCTGTGCTGCAATTGTGAAGCTCTTTGCTGTTATATGCAAAAGATCCGAGTTTGATAATTCACGTTTTGTTGGTGGTTGGTGGGTGCTCTGTTGTGGTTTGTTTCTTCTTTCCTATCAAACATCTATTGTCCTTATCTCCCATTCTTCTTTTTTGTGTTTGTTACTCTCTTGTAACACCTCTAATCTTCTGGAGCTCATTTGACCTTATGCAGTTACCTACGCCGTAAAACCTCTACTAAAAAATCATTTTGGAAAGTTGGGATTTTTTGGGGGGGTATCTCCATCTGCCGGTTGGAATGCCATATCCCACCCTGTGCATGTTGCCTCTGACTAGCACAGTAGAAGCCATATCCCTCCCAGTGCATGTGCGTCTTCTCAGAATAGAAGCCATATCCCTCCCAGTGCATGTGCGTCTTCTCAGAGTAGAAGCCATATCCCTCCCAGTGCATGTTGCCTCTGACTAGCACAGTAGAAGCCATATCCCACCCATTGCCTCTGACTAGCACAGTAGAAGCCATATCCCTCCCAGTGCATGTGCGTCTTCTCAGAGTAGAAGCCATATCCCACCCAGTGCATGTTGCCTCTGACTAGCACAGTAGAAGCCATATCCCTCCCAGTGTATGTTGCCTCTGACTAGCACAGTAGAAGCAGCCCAGCTCTTAACCCTTCCAGCCCCATGCGTGTATATTTTCAGCAGCGCTTGCACCTCCCTCCGTCCCAAGAGCGTATATTTTCAGTTTCGGGGGGTACTGAATTCGCGCATTTTTCGAAATTAGCTTAATTAAAATTTAATTTTTTTTTATTACTTGTTCATTTACCTTTAAAAATTGGTATATGTTATTATCAAAGCTACATTACAAAGATACTACATTACTTTTTAGAATGAATGCCTCTTTTTCTGAAATACTGCTGTATTGGCTGGGACTGGGGTTAGGGAGTGCACAAAAATGGCTGGGGCTGGAAGGGCTAAATGATCTAAGTTATGTTGCTAAAAGATCTTATGATTATCCTGTGGATTCTGGTATACTGCAATCCGACAAGCACATCCTTTCAATATTTACTGTGTTCATAGAGATGGGATGTTAATGTTTTAGCTTGTTTCGAATGATATAGGGCCCTTCCATGAAAAGTGAAACTGCAGTGATGCAGCTGTGTGACACAGGGATGAAAACCTGCTGGGAAAAATTCTAAGTAGAGATAGAGCTGTTCTTTCTGGGTTGTTGTTATTTTTATAGTTGGAAAATTGTCTGTGACAAAAAGATATCTTACAATATGCTAGATCCCTGCTGAGAATTTTTGTCAACAGGTCTGCATCATGGACGTCACTCCAGATTCACTTTTTGTGGAGTGGCCATAGAAAGGTTTACTTAAAGCATGACTTAAGCTGTTAAGTTATTGATCGAAGGGAAGCCACATTATCTCTTGGTTGTCGTAACTTAGATGTCAAGCTCTGGTGAAAGGTTCTTTCTTTCTTTTTTCCATGTCTCTTTGAAAATGGGATATCACTCTTGCAAGAAAGTAAATCTGTACTGACAAACATTACAAAGTTGTAAACTTTTTAAAAATCCAGGTATCCTGTCCGGTTGGGATCTGACATGATGACTCTACTTTTCCCTTGGCTAATCTATAGATATACAGTGTTGCAACCTGTGAGGGACAAGCTGCTATCATTCACATAGTATTTCTTTTCTACCAACTAAGGCAATGGTAATGGTGTTAGAATAAAAATCACATTGTTTATTATGGTCAAGGGGAATTAACTGAATTTATTATTAATAGTATGTATTATCTTTTTGTATGATTATTCTTAGAGTTATTTCTCTTGATTACATTAGTACACTTAAGTACACCCTTCTTTATTGGAAGGCCGTCATTATACGGACTCGAGTCCGAATAACATTTTTTCATATTCGGACTCGAGTCCGAAGAGTCCGAATAGTCACTTCGTTATTGGAAACTTAATTCTTCTTTATTATTGTTGAGATGACTTCCACTCACCACTTGTGGTATGTGTCCTGAGCAAATCAAAATAAAAAAATTCCTCTCATCAAAGATCATTGAGTTGAAATATTTTTTCCTCCATGTGAACCTGGCAACCTCAATAAATGGGACGCTCTGATGAAGAATAGTGAAACATCGGAATATGAACTGAATTACAGCACTGCTAGCACAAGCTCTTTAATTCCTTCTCATCCACAGATCAAGATTCCTGTGACCCAAGTGCTGGTCTGCACCCTTGCTTCTCAGGCATTGAATCTGATTGTTTTACAACAGACGAAAGATGTAATGGAGTCTTTGACTGTGAAAACGATGGAGCGGACGAGGCTGGATGTAAGTCACTCACTGACCACAGCTGCTTGTCTTTGTTTTTGAAGGAACTAGGGTGTTTTTTATTCAGTTGTACTCATTTCTTTTGCATTAATAGAATAAAATGGAGTTTTATTTTGATATTAATTTTATCATGCATTTTTCAATGACTAAGGGCTTATGCTGTCAAAGGCTCTAAAAAATCTTTCAATGTCAGTCAGCTACTGCATAGCGAGTAATGTAAATAATGAGATTGCAGAAACCAGTACTGATTAAATCTTTTTTTTAAAAAGGGACTGATAACATTTGAGAATCTTATGAAGTATAATCCTTATGGTATAATTCTCCAGGTGAATTTGAGGAAAAGAGGGTTGTCCACAAAATGCCAATGGAGAGGATCAGCAGGGTGATGCGTTACTATGACAACAGTTCCTGGGCTTGGCAAGAGATATTTGTCAAGTAAGCGTGTTTGTGTCTGCTCAGAGCTTGTTCTTCGTGTCACGACATGGTGGGATCAGGCTCTCGTCAGTTTTTGGGCATGTGGAGTTATTAGTGTCACCTTAAAGCTTATTCATTTTCCTTGCTTTCATTGACAAAATATCCATCTAGCTTGAAAAGAAGTCTAGATATATGCGACTGAAGAAGGTGAAGTAGCCTGTTTTCACTGTTTAAATTATTGAGAAAATGGCCGCCAAAGTTTAGTAGTTTCAATAGCTTAAGTGTCCTTGGAAACGGAAAATTACATACTTTGTGGCTTTAAACAAGTTTTTCAGTAAAATTCAGATGGAAATGTATCTTCATATTATGAACATAAAAGGTGTTTAGCCAAAAAACAAAATTTTGATAAAAATTGCCAAGCAGGGAAAATTGCCTTTCTCTTTGATTTTATTATTTTGACGAGCGCCTGATTCCACCATGATGCGTCACATTTGACAAATGAATGGTCTCTTGTTGGGGGATAGAATTGCGGTGGATAAAGAAAATTGGGAGAGGAACAAACTAGAAGGTTTTTAAAAAAGTTTTGTTAGGGGTGAAGGAAATGTTTGTCTGATAAATACCAGATGATAAATGGTAATAGTAGGAAAGGTGAAAACTGGTTCAGGTCATTACTTTGTTAAACATTTTTTTTCAGAATTGCTGTATCTGAAGTGATTTTATTGCAGTATGCGTCTTCAATTTTTACATTTTCCATTGGATATTGACAGAAGACTTTCTTTAGGTGGGGAAAATATCTGCGCCTTCTTGTTATCCCAGTTTTTAGAAGTTAAGATGAAAAAACTTTAGGGAATGAAAAAAGAGTCCTTGATAAAGAAACTACAGACTTTTTATTGTCAACATTTCAGTATTAGTCCCCAATAAGTTTAATCTATGGAACAAGTCAAACTATAGCAGCTGGGATATGTTTGACGGGAGAAACATTTTAAATCAGAGTATCATTACAAATGCATTTTCAAAGTAAAGTGGTCATTCTTTTTTTTAATTGGAACATAACTGTTAAACAACAAGTTTAAGACGGATTTTGGAGATAACTGAATTCAAAGAGTAAAAGAATGATAGAAGTATTCAAAAAGCTATCAAAATTAGTTGAGAAAAAAATTCAGAACAAAATACATTTCATCTGTAAGAAGATTAATAGTAGAAACTTAGAGATTCAAATGTTAAAACTCAATGATGTCTGTTTTCTGTTTCAGGTAAATTAAAAAAGAAATGGGAATATCAAATACTGCCTTTTTATACCAGGATTTTTTTCTTTTAGACCAGATGGACGTGTCGATTTCCGAGTAGATGTTCCAAAATATCCATTGACGTGGGTAATCAACGGCTTGTCGATCAGTCAAACTCTTGGGCTCGGGATCATGGAAAAGCCAGTGATGGTGAGTTCTTGGTTTGATACCTATGTTGGGTACAGATGGTTACCATCATCTATCAAAATGCTTCCATCTTAACCATCTTGTAGTATACTTACGACCTTGGAGCATGCATCAAAATAACATTGAGATTGAGTGTGTATCTAGCTTACGATTATTATTGTTTACATTGCTGCTCATTTATATTATGCATGTGATTGTAAACCTACTTGTGTGTGCCTGTGTGTGCACGTGTGTACGTGTGTGTGTTTGTGTGTGTGTGTGTGTGTGTGTGTGTGTGTGTGTGTGTGTGTGCGCGTGTGTGTGTGTGTACTCGTGGTGGAACACCAAACCAATGTGCCAGGATCTGGACTATAAAGATGTATCTTATCTTATCTATCTTATCTTATCTTATCTATCTTATCTTATTATCTGAAAACCATGACTTGTGGAATGGCTGGATGGTGTCCCTGGTCAGGTGCTTGAGGGATATATCACTGGTAGGGGAGTTGGAGGGTATGCTCTGTTGGTGGGAGGCTGAATAGAAGGAGCTTTTCATTTGGATGGTTGGAAGGCTTTGTGGGTGGTTGGAAGGGAGACTGATTAGAAAATGCTCTTTGTTGGGTGGTTGGAAGGCACTCTTTGTTGGGAGACTGATTAGAAAATGCTCTTTGTTGGGTGGTTGGAAGGCACTCTTTGTTTGGTGGTTGGAAGGCTACTTTCAAAGTGGCCTTTGTCTGTTCTGTTGTTGGAGTCACTCCTTGTCGGGTATTTGAAGAATGATACTTTTCTGATGGTTGGAAGGCTCCATTTTATTATTTTATCCCCCTTTTTCTAGGAATTTCTTAGAGGTATTGTTCCATTTTAATTTCTTTCTTGATCATCACTCAGTGCATACAGTGCAAGCTGCGGGTTTCACGCGCTCAAACACTATCAAACTGACAAGATCGTTCACTGTATATAGCCGGCTACCCATTTCCACCTGGGTGAAGTGAGGAAAATTTGTGCAAAGTGCCTTTCCCAAGGACACAACGTCAGGCCCCTGACGGGATTCGAACCTACGACCTAACGGTTGAGAGTCCGAGAGCTTAACAACTAAGCCACCGAATCATCCATTGTACCAATAATGAAAGTTTGGTTGGTTCTCTGAAGTAGTCTTTTCCCATGACTTATTTAACTGTAGTGTTATCCTTATTCGTTTCTGTTTTGCTCCTTCTACTACTTCCACCCCAGTGCCGCTATAATACCCGTCCGTTCCTGATGAGATTTGACAGGCATTGCGTGGGCTTGCTGGTGATGCGACCCTTCTACTCTTTAGAGTTCACCGCTGTCTTCTTTTCACAACGAAAACAGGCTGAAATTACCAGCAGTCTTAATGGCTTCAGTCATCATCATTGCCTTTCTCACCCTGCACCAGGGTATAGGCCACAGACAAACACCTCAATGGCTTCAGTCATCATCATTGCCTTTCTCACCCTGCACCAGGGTATAGGCCACAGACAAACACCTCAATGGCTTCAGTCATCATCATTGCCTTTCTCACCCTGCACCAGGGTATAGGCCACAGACAAACACCTCAATGGCTTCAGTCATCATCATTGCCTTTCTCACCCTGCACCAGGGTATAGGCCACGGACAAACACCCTAATGGCTTCAGTAGTGTAGTAAAAATGTTGATGAACTCACTGCTGCAGAATCTTGAAAACTGTAGAAAATGGTGGTTGGACCTAACTAGGCCCATTTCAGCTTTTCATTCTTCATGGTTTTTATTATCTTTGCCACTGTCTAACTCTGTGTCTGTCTGTCTGTCTGTCTGTCTGTCTGTCTGTCTGTCTGTCTGTCTGTTTACCGGTCTGTTTATATCCCTGTAACTGTCTGTTTGTCTGTCTGTCTGTCTATGTGTCTGTCTGTCTGTCTGTCTGTCTGTCTGTCTGTCTGTTTATCAGTCTGTTTTTATCTCTGTAGCAGCTTCTCAATAGGAGACTTGGTCTAACTTTATACCTCTGTCATATAGCTTTGAATAACTAGAAAACTTTTCTCCAATGTTCCAGTATGATGCCACTTGCTTCATGTACATGTATCAGTCTGTTTTTATCTCTGTAGCAGTTTCTCAATATGAGACTTAGTCTAACTTTATACCTATGTCATATATATATAGCTTTGAATAACTAGAAAACTGTTCTCCAATGTTCCAGTATGATGCCACTCGCTTCATGTATATGCAAGTGGAGCACCCAAAGTCCATCGTGTGGGGGGAACAGATTGGCATTCGAGTGACTGTTTTCAACTATTGGTATAATGATGATTACATTGAGGTAAGTATCGCGGGACCAAAATACACGCCCTTTGTGGTTGCCATTATGTTCTTTAGTTATTTATTATTTTTGGAAACACAAGTGTCGTTACAGAGCATTTGAGTTAGAAACATGAGGGACATTGCCAAATTTGCTTACTCTTATGGCGCGCAATAAGGACACTGCGAACTTTGCTTACTCTGATAATGCACTCTTGACATCTCGTACAAATACCACATTTCAAATGCTGAGGTAAGGAACAGAATAACCAACGTAGTGGGCAGCATGAAGATTTACTGACCACAGCGAAGAGACGAAAATTACAATGGTATGGGCATGTCACAAGATCCGCAGGACTTGCCAAAACAATCCTACGAGGAAAGAGAAAGAGAGGAAGGCGGAGAACAACATTACAGAGTGAACAGGAAAGACAATCTGAGGAAAGCAGAGGACAAAGAGAAGTGGCGAGAGCTGGTTGTCAGATGCAGTGGTGTCCCCACGGTTGCCCCAACCATGGGATAGAAGTAGAAAAAGAAGAAGAGATGATGCGCTATTCCAGAGTGTGCCCATCTAAATGTGAGGCAGCGTGGTGGAATCAGGCTCTCGTCAAAATAAGCAATGTGAAGAAACTTGCATTTTTCCGCAGATTTGTGAATTTTTATCAAATTTTTGTTTTTTAGCTCTACACCTTTCATGCCCATTAAAGAACTCATTTCTGAGGGATTTTTCTGAAAAACGTTGATTAAAGGCACAAAAAAAATGTAAATTTTCAGTTACCACGGACTCTTAAGCTAAGGAAATTACCAATCTTTGGCGGCCATTTTCTCACTAATTTTACCTCTGAAAACAGGTGACCCCAAATCCTTCTTTCGCAAATATCTCGACTTGTAATCAAGATAAATGGATATTTTTTTTTAATTGACATAAAGACAAATGAACAAGCTTTAAGATGACACCAATAACTCAACATGCCCAAAAATTGACAAGCGCCTGATTCCACCACGCTGCCTCACAAATAGATTACCAGGGTAGTCGTCACTCCCAGTTTTTCAGGGCAAAAACGCTACTTTATTGTCTTGATGAGACCTGGTCTGGTTGTGCATCTCTTTGGGCTTGCTGTTCACTTACAGACAGAGACACATACAGCAGTCCACAGAAAACAACTGAGATACCTTTGCCACCTACATCATTGGTGCTGAGTATGTATATCACGGCTGTTACCAAACGCCAACTTAGTCAAACCGTCAGCTCGCGACACTCCCCGTAACCCGATACTCTGTGACCTCGGTCACCGGGTCAGCGCTGCCGGTTCACTACCGATGCCAAGTTACGGTTGTTTTCTTATCACACGATGTTTTTTAAGCTTATAAACTGAGGCAGTAAACAAAAACTATTCTAGCGATCTCACAGAAAATCACACACACTGAACGATCTATATAGTGTGGGCACGTAGAAGCGATCGTGAAACTGTACTGGTTACTGTTACAGACTTACAGTTGCCATAAAACTGTATAGTAATTATGAAAAGTTGTTAAGGGGTCAGATGTTTTAAGTAAAAACAGAACATGATTCTATCCTTTGATTTTGACAAAATTACAGTAGCATAATGAAAATAGGATAAAGTAAACACGCTCACGTGGTAGCATCATTGTACGCTCCGTCAAAGCAAAGATATTGAAGCTTGAAAATTAGGGTCCTTGATAAATATCATCACAGTGCATTTACTACTCATTTACACATGTATGTAGGCCTACCCCTGAAACTGGGAAAATTCGTCAGTCCTGCGTCGTTTTCCTGCGTTTGACTGTTTAATTTTCTCCTAACTAAATGAGTATTAAGTATTTCTTCTTCTTTTGTTAGTGGTCGCGTTGGGGAGATCTCTAGAGACTGAGAGAAGAGCCTGCTGTGTTTAAATGCTGGAGAAGTGCTGCTATCTGCCACAAGCTGTGTAGGTTTGGATGACATGGATGTAGCAATAGGGGGGGGGGGGGACTTAAAGCTCAACCTCACTGTGGCCTATGGTTGATGATGCAGCGCTAGTGTCGAGAGATGCGATGTCTTCGTCCTGTCTTTCTCCATGCCTAGTATTGTCCTCTGTGTGTGTTTGTGTAGATGGCTTTGCAGTTGAGTTGTTTGTTGAGTTTGCCCAGTCTCCAAATATATGTGGCGAGCGTGTTGTCTCTGTAGTTTCCGATGCTTTTGTTGTTTCTAATTCTACGGGAATGCTCTTGCTACCCGTTGATGTGCGATGATAGTGTGTGCATATCGAACAGTCACTAGCGCGTATACCAGACCGAAAAGCTGTCCACAAATTTGAGTAGGTTTCAGCTGCTTTTCTTGCCTTACTATAGATCTAGTTCCCGCATACGAATGTTCCTACTGCTATCGTAACCCCAAATACCAAAAAAATATAATGTGCAAAGTGTTATTTTTCTCTCTTTTCTGAAATTCGAAGGTTTTAGTTACAATGCATGGTGATGACAACATTGATATGGTCACCGTTGGAAACATGGGCTACACCACAGCATATGCTCCTCCAACATTTAAAGGGGATCACCAGACCATTGTCTTTGTAAGTTATTCATACTTTTCTCTTCTCTCATTTTCATTAGTTAACTGGAACTGATGATTTGTGGTGATTTGGGTTTAATTATGTCGGAGAGCCTGATATTAAGTTTATCATCAATAGTATAAGTCAGTCGTATTTGTTTTTCTTAACTGTTCTGTTTACATTTTCTGTTTCATTTTTTAAATCTGTCTCCTGCCTCCCCTTATCTCTCGCCACTCGCTATGTCTTCTCTCTCTCTCTCTCTCTCTCTCTCTCTCTCTCTCTCTCTCTCTCTCTCTCTCTCTCTCTGTTCTCTCTCTTTCTTTCTCTCTCTCTCTCTGATCTCTCTCTCTCTCTCTCTCTCTCTCTCTCTCTCTCTTTCTCTCTCTCTCTTGTTTCCTTTGCTCTTTCTCTCTCTCCTTCTCTTTGTTTTCACTGTCTCTTTTAATTTGATCTCTCTTTGAATCTCTCTCTCTCATTCTCTGTCTCCCTCGTTTTGTCACTCTTTCGCACACCCCCCCCCCCCCTACACCCCCCTTGACTTTTTCTTTCTTTTCTCTTCCTCTCTCTCTCTCTCTCTCTGTTCTCTCTCTTCCTCTCTCTCTCTCTCTCTCTCTCTCTCTCTCTCTCTCTCTCTCTCTCTCTCTCTCTCTCTCTCTCTCTCTCTATCTCTCTCTCTCTCTCTATTTCTCCCTCTCTGTCCCCTTTTTTCTCTTTCTGTCACACGCTCTTCTCCTCCGTTATTTACAAGCTTTATGGCTGTCATGTTGTTAATTCAAATGATATTAAATTGTGTGTGTATTGAGCATGACTTAAGCAAGAGCTGTTTTCAATATTGACCCATTTTTATTGATGTCCTAGAACTTTTATTTGTATTTTACCCACATGATATCGTGTTGTTGATGAGTGCTCTGGTGTGGTCTGCTTTTCTCAGTTTTTAAACATAACTTTTATCCTATTTTGTTTTGGGCAAAACTTGTCCATCATTCATTGTGTGGAGTCTCTGTAACTCACAAATCAAACATCAACCTTCACAGTTGGAGCCTGGTGATTCCAAGGACATTTACATGCCGATTGTTCCATCCCAATCATTCCGCGGGGATCGGCTGACATTCAGAGTGTCTGCAACCTGCTTCATGGAGAAGGACGAATATGTTGGGGAGATGACTGTCGGGGTATTTACTATTGTTTTGTCAATGTTAAAAGATGCAGTCTGTAAAGACCGCCTGTCCAAGACAATTCTGAGACATCGTGGTGAAATCAGACGCTCGTCGAAATAATGAAATCAAAGAAATCAACATTTTTTTGGGCCAATGGGCAATTTTTTTCTGCTTTTCTTTTTTTGGCTCAACACGTTTTAAGTTAATTTCGAAACATATTTTTGTGTGGATTTTACTTTAAAACATTGATTAAAAAGGCCTAAAAATGTAAATTTTCAGTTTCCAAGGACTCAAGGCTGTGGGAGTTACCAAACTTTGGCGGACATTTTCTCGCTAATTTTACTTTGGAAACCAGGCAACCCTGACTTCCTTCAATATAAAAAATTTCAACTTCTATTCATTATAGATGGGAACTTTTTTCACCAAAAGAAATGCAAATGAACAGGCTTTAAGATGATACCAATAATCCCATGTGCCCAAAAATTGACGAGCGCCTGATTCCACCTTGTCGTGACCCAATTATCTGTACAAACGTCCACCCCCACCCTTGCCTTTTTTTTCTATGTTGTAATGACGCTGTCCAAGAAGAGCACCCATCTTAGATGATGACTTATCTTCTGCACAATGTGTGGTCGTCTTTGACAAGTGTAACTGTAATTCCTTGTTTGAGTGAGCTTTGTGAAAGCAAATGAATGGCTGCAAATGAATGGCTAGCGGGTGATCTGATGTGGTTTGTTCCTTCTATCCTATCAAACATCTGTCGTCCTTATCCCTCTCTTTCCTTATTCTTTTATTTTAACATACCTAATCTTCAGCTGTTAAATGGCCTAATTTTGTTGCAAGTGCTGTAAAACTCATATTAAAACAGAATAAAAAGGAATACAAGACTACAGAACATGTCAGGCAATGGTTTAGTGACCAACTAATTTTACTGTCACACCCCTTAATTTGTTTTTAGAAAGTCTCATTCGTGTCTGTACATGTTCCTCTCTTTCTACCCCTTCTTCTTCTCCTCCCTATTCTCCTCCTACTCCCTGTGCTCCTTCTCCTCTTCTTCCTCATCTCCTTCCTCCTCCTCTTCTTCCTCCTCCCTTTCCTCCTTCTCATCTCATGAGGTATGAATAGGCTTCCAAAAACTATCAGAGAAGCAGAAAATCTAGAAATTTTTAAGAAGAAACTAAAATCATTTCTATTTTCATCATATTTCGATTAGACAGAATGCATCCAAGCTGTAGATCGTTGTGAGTTTGTATGTGCATATGTACGTATGTGTGTATGTATGTGTGTGTGGTGCGTGCGTGAGTGAATATGTGTTTGCATGAGTATGTAACACTATGTACCTTTAAAATTGATTTGTAAATCCATAAAATGTATCATGTTAAGCGCATAGAGCATTGCATAAGTGGATATGCGCTATATAAATGCAATCCATTATTATTCTATTATTAATTGCATCAGCAAGAAGAATGTTTTGTTTCTTCCATAATCTTATGTTTCATTGTGGCTGTCGTTCTTTCTTCCAGGCAAATGGAGTGTCCAACTACTATCACACCCCATACTTCGTAGACTTGATCAAATACCCATCAGTAGAGATTCCGCAGTTCAAGGTGAACGTACCAGAGCAGTTCCGCAAGCCTGAAATTAGACCCAATCTGTACGTGCCGCAGTCTCCCGTCGGCATGATGTCCTTCTTTGGTCAGTTACCTCAAACATTTCTTGGTTAAAATTTACAGCATCCTCATTGACTGAACACATTTTCATTGCCTATATGTGAGGCAGCGTGGTGGAATCAGGCTCTCGTCAATTTTTGGGCATGTAGAGTTATTGGTATCATCTTAAAGCTTGTTCACTTGTCTTTATGTGGATGATAAAAATATCCATTTATCTTGAATACAAATCGAGATATTAGCGAATGAAGGAGGAGGGGTTCACCTGTTTTCAGAGGTAAAAATAGTGAGAAAATGGCTGCCAAAGATTAGTTATTTCCTTAGCTTATGAGTCTGTGGTAACTGAAAATTTGCATTTTTTGTGCCTTTAATCAACGTTTTTCAGAAAAATCCACACAAAAATGAGTTCTTTAATGGGCATGAAGATGTTGAGCCAAAAAACAAAAATTGGATAAAAATTCGCGGAAAATGCAAGTTTCTTCACTTTGATTATTTTGACAAGAGCCTGATTCCACCACGCTGCCTCACATAGTCTCGAGTGGTGCCTTTGCGCTGATATTTTGGCTTCATAAATTCCCTCTGCCTCATTTTCACTTTCTTGTTATATATACTGTCGTGAAATTTTGATTCATTTAAGATAGTGGTGTGCCCCTTCAAATGACCTTGTCAGAGTTACAGATACTTCCTAGCCAAATCATCGTTTGATGTTACAAGGTTTCTGTCTGCATTATAAGTACTTTTGAGATATTGGACATCAAAGATTGCGAATTTTAAACTGGAAAGAAAATAGAATCTTTTTTATGCGTATTTTTCTTGGATCAAAAAAGTCATTTTAGAATGAAACTCAGATCTCCATGTAGTGCTTTGCAGATCAAACTCGCAACAAACCCAACTTGAAACGTCCAAAAAAATGCTGCTGAAACATTTTTATTCTCATACGACAGAGTATTGCTAAGTTAGTCTCGATGATGTTTCCACTCAACTCTTTCGATTTCATTGAAAACCTTAGAAGTAGAAGCAGAGAATTTTCTATTTGTTTTGTATCCTGTTTTCTCCAAAGGGAAGTTATTTGTGCTTTCTTCACCATTCCCCATTAAGCTTAGCCTTGAAAATAATCCAATGATTCATTGATTGAATATGATGGAACAAGAGCTAATCATAAAATAGATAAGTTATTGAATCAAATAGCCTTGATGCATAGTCTGGCTAACAGCTTCAAAAGTGTGAAGGAATTCATACTGTGACTCTTCTATAGGTGATGTTGCCATGCCTGGGTTTTTTGAGAATTATTTGAATGCCGAGAATTTATTGTACCGGCCATATGGTGGTGGGGAGATGGTCACCTTCAACTTTGCCTACAACCTGCACACCTTGCGCTTCATGAAATGGTCGAACCAGCTGGAGAATGTACCACTGGAACCAGTGCTTGAAGAAATGAACTTAGGTATGTATCCTCTTTTGTTTTTCTTTTTCTCCTCTTCTTCTTCATCCTTTTCTTTTTAGTGTCTTCCAGGTTGTTTTCCTTTTGCTTTTTCTCTTCTGCTTCCTCCCTTCTTCTTTCTGCCCCTGTTTGTTCCTTTTGTTCTCTTTATCTGCATATTCTGCTTCCCGTCTTCCTCATCTTCCTCCCCCTCCTCCTTATCTTCTTCCTCCTTATCTTCCTCCTCCTTGTCCTCCTCCTCTTCCTCCTCCTTTCTTATCTTCTCATGTCATCTTTTCAAATTCGAATGCTTTTCATTTCATTTGAGCTCTAATAAACCAAATGTTGTTTGTTCAAAAAAACTTTACCTGAGATAGGTAACTCTGCTTCTTTTTCAGCGCTCCAGAGAATGCTTGGTTATATGGACACTACTGAGGGCTCTTTCAAAATGTTTCGAGACAGCCCCAAGTCCAGCTTATGGTATTCTATTTGTGTCTCTAGCTTATAAGAACATTTAGTGTTTTTATATTTAGAGGTCTCATCAGTTAAAGTTTTTTTTATTTTAGAGGCTTTGATGAGGTAGATAAGATAGATAAGATAGGATACATCTTTATTGTCCAGATCCTGGCACATTGGTTTGGTGTTCCACCACGTGTACACG